TGCAAACACTCTACTTCTGAACCACACTCGTAGCCCCTTTTGCTTTGTTTTTATAGGATGAGTTCCTAAAAATAGGATTAGTGCACCGGACAATATGCTTTTTGTTTGTTTGTTGGGTGTTTTTTTTTGTTTGTTTTGTTTTTTTGTTTTTTGGTACTGGGACTCAAACTCAGGACCTTGCGCTTACCAGGCATGTGCTGTGCCACTAAATCCCTGGCCCCTCATATTTTCATTTTAATAGATGTTGCTAAATTATTTACCTCTGGGTTGTGACACTACTCTTGATGGCAGTGCTCACTTCTACAAAGCTTTAGTAGCTGTGATATCTTTAGTGTTACTTTGTCAGTAGCATAAGCAAAAAAATAAAATGTCATGTCATTACCACTTAATGTGTATTTCTGCACACATATTCTTATCTGTTTACTAGCCATTTGCTTTTACAAGAATTGCTAGTCTAGGGCTGGGGATTTAGCTCAGCAGCATAAACACCTGCCTGGCAAGCACAAGGTTGTAAATTTGATCCTGGTACCAAAAAAATGAAAAAATAAAAGGAATTGCTAGTCTACCCTGAACATACCGATCTCGTCTTATAAGAATTGCTAGTTTATTAGCACTTTTGCCTGTTTTTTTCACTGAGCTGATCATTTTTTCCTTACCACTTTATGTCAGTATTTTTTGATCCCAGTGTTATGAATATTTTGCTTTTATCATGGAAATTTTTGTATTGTTACATGGAATATGTATTTTTCAGTGCTGGAGATTAAGGCATTGTGATGCTAGGCAAATGCTGTACCACTGAGCTATACTGCCAGCTTTTATAGTGTAATCCGTTTGTATTTATTTTCTTTTACTGTTTTCAGGAGCGTTTGTTTTTGTTCAAGGCTTTCCCTGTCCCAGTATTATGAAATGGTCTATTGAATTTTCTTTGTTTCACACTCATGTGCCCACATACATTCCCAAGTATTTGATCTGCCTTTGTAATGTGAGATGTGGTTCTTTCCCATCTAAGTAGAGAGCCGCTCTACTTAGGCCAGCATCATTTATTATCAATAGGTCTTCATGAGACACCTTCCAAATATACTTCTTTTCTTTTTCTTTTTAGTTCTGCTTCAGAATATTCTAATGGGATTATTATATTTGCTTGTATTATTTTTAAAATTTAGTCTTTCACTTTAAATTGTCGTCTTTTCATAGTTTATTGAATTTTACAGTAGATTAAATCAAGTGTCTGTTTCCTGTCAAAAGTTTGCAAATGTCTGTTCTCTCTTGAGTGTCATTACTCTTCTCATTTGTTGTTGTGAAATATTTTCATAGATTAGAATTTTAAAGATTTTAAAAGGTTTTTTTGTTTCTGTTTTTTAAATACCAGGGCATGTTTTCACTCATTACTGATTCTTGGCTAAATAGATCAAAGCATGTCAAGGCTGGACATTTGCCTGAGATCAGTATCTGGGTTCTGCTTAAATGTGCTCACTTTTCCTGTTTCTGCTTCAAATTTTCTGCACTGAGTTAGTGAGAAGGCTCTTTAAGGTAAATGGAAGCTCAGAGTTGAGAGGGAGCAATGCTTACCGGGAGAAACTAGAATGCAGGAGGTAGTGTCCTGCGTCTGCTTTTCTTCACCTCATCGTTCACCTTAGGCACCTTCGGAGGCTCTTCTCACTTCTCCTGTGGCTTCCGCCCTTTGCGCCAGGGATGACTAACCCCTGAGCTCTGTGGATCCTTTGAAAGGATGTGTGCATGCTCTCTGCCTTCATTCTGCTCTGGAGCTCTGGTCCTCTGAGACAGAGGGGGCCTTAGGGAGAAGAAGCCTGTCCTTCCACCCCGACCTCCCGCTTACTCTGTGTGTGCAGATATTCTTCAAAGCCTGTGCCCCATAGGTGCTGCCCTTCTCTAGTTTCCATTGCTGATGCAAGAAATGTTTGCTCTCTCTTTGATTCTTTTTTGCTGGGATTTGGAGTTTAAGATGTTTGTATTCAAGTTACTGTCTTACTCTGTGAGTGTCTGTCGTGTAGTATTGAAATTTGGAATTGAGATTCAGAAGATACTGTTTGACACCCAAGAGGCAGACTATTTCATACTTTTTCACAAGCTTCTTTTCAATTTATTTTGTGTAAAATAATAACAAGTTCCAAGAAAATTACATTCTTGGTAAGGGCATAGAATAAGCAAAGATACAGAGGCAGGACGTAAAAGGAAAAAATTCAGTAGCTCAGTGGGCAGAAGGAAGTCAAAGAAAGTAACGTGAATGATCCTGGGAGAGAGATGAAGCTGGGTTTCATTTAGCTGTCAGGAGCCCAGCAGCCCAGTCCACTTCATACATAAACATCTACCAGTTACGAAGGTAGCAGTGATACAGTGATACTTAAGTGGAGATAACCAGTGAATACTTCAAAAAATCATGTTGTAAGAGCCTCTCTGTACTTGGATCAAAATAGATAATATTATCATCCTCCCTATCTCCTGTACTGAGGCTTGAACCTAAGTCTTCTCAGATGCCAGGCAAGTGCTCTATCATTGACCTGTATCCCACCCTTTTTTGGAGACACAGGCTTGCTCAACTATGCAGGCTGTCCCTCCACTGTGGTCCTCTTGCCTCAGCCTCCCCAGTATCTGAGATTATAGGCATATAGCACCACTAATGGTATTTTGATGAAGTGAATACTGTAGAAAATCAACACCACTTGAAGACTATAATAAAAAATGAAAACAATTAAATGAAAAAAATTGGAGGAAAAATAATTACAGGCAGATATATGTTTAAATTGTAATGCATAGTTTCCTCACACTGACTCTTACTCTTGTAGCCAAGCAGCTGACTATGAATTGAAATACTATCTTTGGATAACTGAAGGCAGGAGTCCTGGAAATCGATTTTTGTAGCCCTGCTATTTTCTTGTGAAGTTTAAATTAGTCTTTGTGTTTATCAGTTAATGTTTTGAATCACAGAGAAACTTAAATAACTAAAAGGAATACCTTAACATGTAAGATCCTTTATTACTAAATTAACAAGGGATACAGTTACAGTTAATTTATAAAAATGATTTTCTTGGAGGTGCTTTGATACCAATTCAGTTTAGGGGGACAGATAGGAAGATGGTCTCCCCACTTTGTTGTTGACTTTCCTGAGAATAGCTGAAACAGAAACATATTTTTTCTGTTCAGATTGGACCTTATTTCATTCTATTTCTACATAATCATCTTTTTTTTTAAATTGAGATAAGGGTCTCACTGTGTTATCTAGGCTCGTGCTGAGCTCCTGGGCTTAGATGATCTCTCAGTCTCCCAGGTAGTTGGGGCTGTATAGTGTACCATTACACCCAGCTCACCATCTGTGTGCTATGTAACAGAAAGGAGAGGACAGAACCCAGATTCTGCTAATAAGCCTTCAAAAAAATTTTTTTAAACCCAACCACTTAGCTTTTGAAATGCCTTATAGTTTCTCCTTCTCTTTCTCTTCTTCCTCCTTTTCCTCCTTTTTTTTTGAGACAGGGTCTTGCTATGCAGTTCAGGCTCGCCTTCAGCTCACTTTGTAACCCAGCCTAGTCTTGAACTTGGAACGATCCTCCTGCCTCAGCCTCCCAAGTGGACTTCTAATTGTTTAATTTGCTGATTTTTTTCCACTTTGGAGTCAAAAGTGTAAAGCTGAGTAGTTTAAATTATGCTTCACTTAGATTTATTTTATGTTGATTACAGAGCAACAGAAAAAGAATTAAGGGCAAATTGATTCAACTGTGGAAGCTCAGGAGTAGCTAGATTAATTTCAAAAAGATCAGGAAATAAATATTTTAAACTTCCATTGACCTTACTGAAATAACTGCCAGAAATATTCTGTTTGAGCCCTTCCCATAAATTAGTCATTTTCCAAAATAGCTGAGGCAATATGATATAATAAAAAGAACAGTTATTTAGTAATCAAAAAGTTAAGAGTTCTTGTCTTGGCTTATTCACAAAGAGATTAAATAACATGTTCCCTGGATGAGGAAGCCATGCAAGAGAAGGATTGAATCAGATGGTCTGTCTTTAAAAACTGAGTTTGTGCTGGAATTTAGACACCACACAAAAAACATACCAGAAGATTTGGGTGAAAGTACAGTTCCACCACATGCAGAGTTACCATTCTTAGTCTTAGAAGGTAAACAGTGTACTAGGCAAGATTCCGGTGTATAAAATGGATTACACTTTAATTGGCTTAAGCACAAAGTTATTAAATGGATTGCAGAAGTGCTGAAGAAATAGACTGTAGCTTAAGCTTCTAGCAGTGGCTTTCTGAAGTCACAACACAGACCTGGACACCAGGAGATCTGCTGCCTCTACTATGTGAGCCTTAAAATTGAGAGGCTGCCTGCCCAATTGGAAAGCTACAACTGCAGCCACCAGCATCAGAGGCATGCTGGCTCTGCTATTGTCTGTGTCAACAAGGTGAAAGCCTTGTACCCCATTTCTCCCCATGACTCAGGTCCAACCCCAGCTCTTGGCCAGGTCTTTCTGATTGGTGCAATCTAAATCACATCTGAATTCCTACATGCAGGAGAGTCCTGAGAATCCATTCTTCCTACATCAGAGTGTGTTACATGCCAAGCAGCCAATCCCTTGCATCTGCCATATTTACCATACATGTTTAGCAAACTATTTAATAGACTAAATATGTATGATAAATAACATTTGTATTTTCTAACATTTGCAGAGTAGACAGACTCATTATTTAGAGCTAGAGTGTCACTCTATATGAGCATGTTATTGCATACTACTCCTAAGAAAACAACTCTTTTGAAAACAGAGCAGCACCTACATTATTTCCTAAAGATGCAAAGCTGGTTAGAATTTTAAATCTAAGGTTCTCCTTCCAGCTTTGTGTTTTCTCCATATCAGTTCTGTTTTACATCTGCATTTCTTCCCCTCTGCTGCCCCACCCCCATCACACACACACACACACACACACACACACACACACACACACACACGCTTTACCTTTTCAATCTGATGTGCTCTTTACTGTGCAGACCTGTGAATGAAGAGCCAGAGTCCTTGGAGGTCAACTCTGCTGGCCGGTGGCATGGTGTGTATGTCAACAGAACATCTGCTGCACCTTCGGAGTCTGCAACTACTGTTAAGTCACTGATCAAGTCATTTGACTTGGGACACCCAGGTATTTATCATTTTTTTCCATAAGCAAAACTGTGCATTCAAGTGTTGGCCTGACATTTCAAGCCCGTCTCTGCTCCACACTGGCCCCACATTGTTACAAACACAGGGATTTTTCAGTTAAGCCTCATGCAGCCACTGTGTGCAAGAGCCGGACAGAGGCTCCAGTGAGTCACAGTGGAGAATCTGACTCACGGATGATACAGATACTTTCCCCCTGCTCCCTAACTCCAGTGTCTCCCTCTTCACCGTCCTATTCTGCCTCTTGTTCCCATTGCATACAGGTAACAACTGTTTACCTTGTATCATCTCCGGAGACCGCCAGCAGTGTGCACCTTGCACACTGTTTGACCTTTGTACCTGGTCTTGTGTGTGCACTCCTGTCCTGATCTGTCACTCCTGATCTTGATGTGTTCTGTTTTTTATGGAATTATCTGTCTGATTCAGTTTCCTTTGAGTCAGGTTTATCTTACATATATAAGAAAAATGTATCCATATTTTATGTACATAGCCATAGAAGAACACACTCAGTAAACAGAAGAAACAGAATGTACATCTGTCCACAGTTTCTTTCCTTGACTATGAAAAGTATGCATTTTACTTGAAAACTACAGTAATAACTAATCCTTAAACGTATTTAGTTGTCTCTGTTAATTTGCTGCTACATTAAGATTTTTCTGCTCATACTGAACATAGGAAGGCTCAGTTAGCCAGCCTGTGCAGATAGGAAATGAATCAACAGTAATATCTCTGGAAAGAACTTTCCTGTTACTTCTCTCCAAAGCAACCTCATTACATGTGCATTCTTTTCCTTTTCTTTGGTTATCTTACACCGTAAGCCCAACCCTCACCAGGTTAACTCTTCCCCTCAATTCCTCAATCTAGTTCTATTTGAGGGAAGAGCAAATGTTATATTAAATACCACAGGATATTTAAGCCACCAAAACTAGCAACAAGTTAAGAACTATTCTTCTCAAGCAACTCTAAACTAGAACAAGCCCGTGTGTGTGTATAAAATCTCCCCCAATCTCTTTACTCGGCAGGTGGAACGGGGCAGAATATTTCCATCCATAAGGCTCCCAGAAGTCCACTCAGTGGGATACCAGTGAGGACCACTCCAGCAGCTGCTGTCTCTCCCATGCAGGTATTAGAAGAGCCCCAGAGATAACCACTTTCATGGTTTGCTGTGTGTCTTTCTAGATGTACTTTATATGTGTGTTGGGAGAAGAATTGTATAAATCACATTTGCATATTAATCTGGTACTCATTCACCTTAACATTGCCATGTAGGATTTGAGGCTAGAGTTTTTGATATTTTGCTTACTGTTAGATCTCAGGTCTAGAATAATGACTAGGAGAAACAGTTATATCCTGGTAAAATGTTAGGTGATTGTTGAGTGAATGAAAGACTATGGCAGACATCTTTAATGTCACTATCCAGAAATGACTTTTTAAAGGATATGTGATATGTACCGATTTATGTAGCCACTTGTCTGTGGAACATTTAGATTGTCTGAATTTAACTTACTGTAGGAACACACAGTAGAAATCCTTACACAATTTTTTAACCTTTTAAGGATCTATTTCCATAGAAGAGTATATCAAGACATAGTTGCAAATGTTTGGAATTACTCTTACAAGTGGAAAAGAAGTTTTGTGGCGGGGGGGGGATATAGGGTCTGAATGTGTAGTGCAGACTGGCCTTGAACTCATGTCAGTCCTCCCGCCTCAGCCTCCTGAGTGCTGGGATTACAGGTATGCACCACCACACCTAGAAAGTAGAAAATAATTTAATATAGAGGTTTTGGTAATGAAAAGAATGAAGGAGAAAAAGCCCTCAGAACATCTTAAGATAGCTCATTAAGGAGCTGCTATTTCTGCCAGCATCAGGGAAGTACTTGCCTGGGTACTTGCCCAGGACTGTTACTTCTGTCAGGATCTGCAGTTGACTTCAGGACCACCCTGCCACAGGCTTAGTCTGTGTCAGCAAAACACGTGCTTTGTGCCTTGCCTTGTAACACCCATAAAGCTGTGGGATGAAAAACTTGGTTGCACTGCCACAGAAAGGCAAATACGTGCACAGCTGTGGATGCCACCAAAAGCCGCAGAAGGGCTGTGGACTGCACCTTCCAGATCTTCTGAGAATGGACCTGTTTGACAGAAGGATGCTCACTTGCTGAACCAAGCTTTAATGGAAAATAATAGCCTTTAGCTTTCAAATCTCTCGTAATTCAGTAAATCACCATATAAAAGGTCTGCAGTGGAGGTGAACAAGCCTCTCCTAAGATCTGCCAGAAATTGATTTCTAGAAATGGAAAATGGATTACTTGGAAGGGAAATGGATTTGCTCTGTCTTGGTACATTGAAGAGCTGACCCATTTCCCTTCAGTTTATATACCTGCTGGCTTTGGGGTCCTGAAGTGATTCTTTCCAGGTTCTTGGTATCCTGCACAAAGAACTGGACAATATTTGCAGAAAAAGTAGCAAGCATTTACTTTTTTTTTTTTTTTTTTTTTTTTTTTTTTTTGAGACAGGTTTCATGCAGGCTAGCCTCAGATTTACTTATGTAGCCCGGGCTGCCCTCGAACTCATGGCGAGCCTCCTGCCTCAGTATCCCAAGTGTTGTACATTTGTTGAAGGTGGAAAAGAAGTACACTCTAGCTAGATGTGGTGGTGAATGTCTACTCAGGAGGCTGAGGCAAGATGATTGCTATTAGTTTGAGGCCACCCTGAGCTACATAGTAAGTTTCAGGCCCGCCTGTACTACATAGCGAGACCCTGACTCAAAAACAGAAAGAAACAAAAAAAGGAACACTCTGCAGAGTAAGAGCAGGCCAGTGAGCAGGCTCACAGCAGCCTCGAGGAAGAGTGACAGGGTCTTTTGTGTCTCCACTCTTGGGTTGCTTCTCTCTTATACACACAAGGCCTTTGGGACAGATGTCCTACCACAGTCTCACTTCGGTCTAAGCCGTCCTAGCTCAGGCCCACTTGGTCTCTTCCCAGACGGAAGTGAAGAGTTGAAGGTGGAGCGTTCTGACTGACCGTGGGTAGTGCTGCAGACTCCGTGTTCCGCGCGTGTGCTCTGGTCCCCGTGGGTGACAGGCAGGCCAACTCCCTCAGCTATTCTTCTCATACTTCATTTCCATTCACATTATGTAAAGTGCTGTTTTCCCAGAGTTTTGGAACTCCTTATAATTTTGAGGATTTGAGTAAATGAACAACGTAATGCCTGTTCTACTCTGTTGATTGGTAAAGTGGGACGCTTCGTCATACGTTTGTAGATCACTACTGTGTATCTTTGGTGAGTGTGTGGTCACATATGCTTTGCCCAGTTTTCTTTTGCGATGTTATTCTTCTTCCAGTTTATAAGACTTCCTGATGTGTTGGGCTTTTAAACATTTCTTTTCATGCATATTGCTACTATTTTTTGTTATCTTTTTATTCTTTATAGTTGTCTTTTAATGAACAGCAGTTTTACATTTCTTTGTTCAGTGTTTTATGGCTAAATGATTTTGGGTCCCTTTAAAATATATTTCTAGCTACTTATTCAAATATTTTGCCTTAATAGCTTAAAGAAATCTTTTTACTTGTTCGGTTTTAAAATTCACAGAGCTAGACATGGTAGCCCATGCCTGTAATCCTAGCAATTAGAAGGCCGAGGAAGATCATTGGGAGTTCGAGGCCAACTGGGGCTACACAGCAAGACTCTGTCTAAAAAAAACTAAACAAAACAAAAAAATAAATTCATAGAAATATGGGTTTGGATCTAGGGTTTACTTCTGGAAGTAAATATTCTGGAGGATGTTTATATTTTCCAGAACCTCAACATGTATCCACATTTTTTAAAATACGTAGTCATGTAGTCAATTTAAAAATGCCAGACAAAATAGTTGATATACTAGATAACAAAAGCCAGGATTACATTGATATATGCATACCCATGTTTTTTATAGCAGCACAATTCATAATAGCTAAATGTTAAAGTGGCCTGTATGTCCATCAGGTAATGGATGAATAAAGAGAATGTAGTATTTATACACAATGAAATACTATATTTATCTGCCATTAAAAAAAAATGAATTTGAGTCCTTTGTAGGAAAATGAATGCACCTTGAGACCATAATATTAAGTGAAGTAAATCACACACAAGCTTAAATACCACATTGTTCCTCTTATATGAAAAATCCAAAGTAAAAATAAAGAGCAAAATGAAGACATAGGAAGCAGGGAGATAGACCTTTCTCACAAGAGAACGGGATTAAGAGACGAAGGAAAAAAGGAAAGAAGGAAGGAAGGGCAGGCTAGGGGTGAAAAAGGAATTGGGTTGTGTTCCGTACATATACTAGCTGGCACAAAGCATGTAAACCTTATGTACTATAAACATACACCTAAAAAACAATGTATGAAGGATAAAAATTTTTTTGAGACAGAATCTCACCATGTAGTTCAGACTGATTGAACTCACTATGTGGCCCAGGCTGGCCTTGAATTTGTGGCAGTCCTCCTGCCTCCGCCTCCTGAGTGCTGGGATTTAGTCGTGTGCCACCATATCTGGCCTAATAAAATTTTTTTTAAGAAGCAGGTGAATCAAGATACGGATGTTCAGGGGAGGGAGGAAGGGGAAGGGGATGAAAGAAGGAACTAAGATGTCTTATGTACATGTACCATAAACATGTAATGAAGTAAAATTTAAAAGACACAGGAGATCCAGCTACTGATATTATTAGAATTTTCTAAAAGCTGAGATTAATATAGCCAACATAAAAGTGATAAGGTGAGAATTACAGCATGAAATCCACTATATAAAAAATAATTTAGGACTAGGGGTTTAGCTTAGCGGCACAAGTGCCTGCCTGATAAGCACAGGGCTATGAGTTTGATCCGCAGTACCAAAAAATAAAATTTATTATAAATTCTATAACAAGCTTAAATGGTACACAGTTAATGGTGAGACATTTGCATTTTTATAATAATGAGGTTTTTATAATGATACAAAATAAAACACATGAAATTTTCACTTTTTTTTTTTTTTTTTTTTTTTTTTTTGGTGCTAGAAATCAAACCCTGAGCCTTGTGCATGCTTGGGAGTCTTCAATTTTAACAAAGATTTTAAGTGCACAATACAGTATTGTTAACAGTAAGCACTGTGTTATATGGCAGTGCTCTAGAATTTTCCCAGTTTGTAGTGCAAAAACTCTACCCAGTTCACCATTCTCTCTGGCTGAACATTTAGGTTTTTCCATACCTCGGCTATGGTGAAATATGCCAACATAAGCACAGATATGGAAATATCTCACTATGGTCTGATTTGGATAAATACCCCAAAGTAGAACTGCTGGGTCATGTGGTAGTTCTGTGTATAATTTGCTTTTTGTGTGTTTGTTTGTTTGTTGTTTTGTCTTTTTGGTACTGGAAATCAAACTCACAACCTCACACTTGTCAGGCAGGCGTTATGTATAATTTTAGAGGAACCTTTATGCTATTTCTGTAGCAACACTGCACCCCATTTTTCTTGCCATCAGCAAGGTACAAAGGATATAATTTCACATCTTCACCAATACATGTTATTTTCTGGGGTTTATTGTTTTCATTGTTTTTTCTTTCGATGCAGGGTCTCACTATGTAATTTAGGCTGGCCTTGAACTCCCACTGATCCTTCTACCTTGGCCTCCCGAGTGCTTGGATTATAGGCCTGATTTTAGTTATTTATAATGACTAACTGCTAATGTGCTAACTTGTTTGATTTTCATGTCCCTGATTATTGATGTTGAGTATCTTTTTTTTTCTTGGTACTCATGACCCTGTGCTTGCCAGGCAGGTGCTTGTGCCACTCACTGAGCTAAACCCCCAGTCTGAGCATCTTTTTATAAAACTAGTAACATATCCTTGAATGTTTATTCCAGAAAGGATATACATGAAGCTGATTAATATTACCTCTGAGGAAAAAAAATGGGTAATGGCAGTGAAAAAGACACCCGTTTTCCATTATTTGCCCTTTTCATTTGAAGATTGCACCAATTGCATTTATTACCTGTTTATATAATTTATTTTGGAAGTTTCCTGTGATGATTCTAATGTGTCTAAGAACTGTTCTTTATCTCTATTTCTGTGTCTCTCATTTTCTGTTTCTCTGTCTCACATTCTGTCTCTCTGTCTCTCTGTCTCTCTCTCTCTCTCTCTCTCTCACTGTCTCTCATTTGTTATGCTGTTTTTGAGGTCACAAGCTCACCCTTGCTGATGTGCTTTTGTCTTGATAGAGGCATTCAACTTACAACAGCCTCCGGCCAGCCAGCAAAGGAATGACTCAGCGTTTGGATATCCCAGACCTTCCTCTCTCAGGTGAGTGACCGTAAACATTAATTACTTTTGACCTGTTTTTTTGTGGGGTTGACTTGACTTTTCATGAAATTGAACTTAGAAAATAATTACTGGCGTTTGTTCCAACAGATTTTTATCCTTTAGTATGTACATTGTGAATTTTAGATGTAGCTGTACAGCCACCAGAGAAAACATGCTTCATACTAGCTGCACTTCTCGGTGTGCATAGACAAGAGAGAAATGCCAGATGCTCTTTTAATAAACTGTATCTCTAGAGAAGGTCAAATCTTTAAAAAAAAAATCTGTTAAGAAAAACATACAGGAATTTAGCTCAGCAGCATAAGTGCCTGCCTTGCAAGCACGAGGTTGTGAGTTTGATTCCTGGTACCAAAAAAAGAAAGAAAAACATACATTTTTCCGGGCATGGTGGCACATGCCTGTAATCCCAGCACTCAGAGGCTGAGGCAGAAGGATCACTACAAATTCAAGACCAGCCTAGGCTACATGCTGAGTTCAATGCCAGCCTGAACTACACAGCAAGACCCTGTCTCCAAAAAAAAAAAAAAGAAAGAAAGAATGAAAACAAATGGTTTTAAATCTGTCTATTGCTTCTACAATTCTTAAAATATACCTCTTTTAAGATAGCACTGTTGGGAGTAATTCTCTTCCTGTTGTTATACTATATTTTTAAAAATTCAGATCTTGATAATGAGACCGGGGTTGTTAGTCTTCATAGGACCCATTTTCGTTCGTGCAGTACCTTCTGTGCTGATACCTGATGGGAACAGCTTTCACAAAGCTGGTGTAGTGGCACACACCTGTAATCCCAGCCCTGGGAAGGCTGAAGCAGAAAGATCATTGCACGTTCAAGGCCCCCCGGGATACATAGTTAGACCCTGTCCCAAAAAAAAGTAGTAGGGAGAGCAAAAAGCTGGGATTGCTTGGGCTTGATCTTGGCGCTGCCGCTGACATCTACCTTGACCTTGTTGTGCTCTGGCTTCCTAATGTCTAGCATAGAAACATCTACATCACTGATTGTTTAACTAGTGGTTTAACACATTTAAACCACTTAGGACCTAACCTGGTATGTGGAAGCATTTTTAGAATATTATCATCTTCTCTACTCTTCTCTGCTGAGCTGATTCACAAGCCCAGACTAGTACTCTCAGCCACCTTAGAGTAATATTAGTTAAGGTTATCCAGAATATAGGCATACCTCAGAGATATTATGTGTTTGATTTTAGCCCACTGCAGTAGAGCTAAGAACACCCTAAAGTGAGTTATGGGCTTTTTCATTTTCCAATGCATGTAAAAGTTACACTGTCCTGTAGTCAGTTACATGTGCAATAGTGTCTCAAAAATACTAACCTAATTAATATACTTTATTGCTAAAAAATGCTAACCATCATCTCAGCCTTTAGCAAAGTTACGATCTTTTCTTGGTGAGGGTCTCGCCTCCCTGTTGATGGCTGCTGACTGGTCAGGTGGTAGTTGCAGAAGGTTGATGTGGTTTTTGGCCGGTTCTTATTAAAACAGTAGAATTTGCCACATTGATTGACTCTTTTTTACATGAAAAAGTTTGTAGCATGTGATGCTATTTGACAACATTTTACCATCAGTAAAATTTGAGTAAAACTGGAGCTAATCTTTTAAAAGCTACCTAAGCTTATGTAGTATTCTAAATCCTCATCATCATTTCAGCAGTGTCGGTGGCATTTTCACAAGGAGTAATCATTTCAGAAATTTCTCCAGGAATCTGTGTGCTCATCTACAGGAAATAATCATCTGTTAGTTTTGTCATGTGATAGGAGCAGTTGAGTCACATCTGACTTCTAATTCTCTTGTTGTTTCTATCAAATCTGCAGTTAACTTCCTGTACTGAAGTCTTGAACCTCTCAAAGTCATCTGTGAGAGTTGGAATCAGTTTCTTCAAAACTCTTGTTAATGTTGATACTTTCACCTCCCTGTGTGAATGTTGAATGTTCTTAGTAGCTTTGAGAATGGTAAATCTCTCTCAGAAGGTCTTCAGTTTACCAAATGTCTTGATTACTTTTCTCATTGCTGGGATAAAATACCCAACACCCAAAATTGAGGAAAGACACATCGTTTTTTTTTTTGTTGTTGTTTATTTTTTAAAATAGTAAAATCCAGCAAAAGAAAATAGAACAAAGCCAGTCAAAACAAAGCAGCAAATTTGGTACAGAACTTCAAAGCAGGGTACTAGGAAAACAACAATAGCTAACATAGTATATCTTGTTATCGTCACAATAGTTGTCATGCTATCAGGTATTGCAAAATCAGACCAAAAACAAAACAGAATAAAACCAATCAGAATATTGAATAAAGACAGAAGGAAATCCCCATATTTGCTATATTGCATACAGTCATCCTCTCAAGAGATGCTCAGACCGCAGGCCCCAGGCCTACAAAATCAATCAGACAATACAAGCATTTAGTTGTTAACAACTCAGCCTATCCTCGGAACCAGCCAGTTGCTGAAGGTGGGAGGGGTTGAGTCTCAGGCTCACAAAGGTGCTGGCTTTTTCTCTTCTGAAAACTGAGTGGCTTGCATGGCTTACCAAAAAGGCTGACTAGTTGGCTTCTTGTTGGATCCTTCCAGGCAGGTTTATTTAGCTCACAGTTTGTGGAGGTTTCAGTCCATAATCAGCTGGCTCTAAGGCAGAGTGGCACATGGCACTGGGGCAACACTTCAGGCTGCAGAAGACAGCAAAGCAACAAGAGCAAAAGAGGGGAAAAGCGACCTGTTCCTCATAGTGTAAGCAGGCTACATCCCTTGGGTGGGTGTAGCACTCACAACCATCTCCTTGCCCTCCTCTTGGACAGGCTAAGGATGTTTACAAAGTAAGGACCCTGGCTCTCTGCTGAATCACTTAGTTAAACTTCTGACCTTCTCAAATTGACATGATAGACAATGTCCTAGAGAGGTAACCATGTGTCCTGTCTACCCTAGGATAGAGAACTGCTGAGTTATTTAAGCTTCTAAGTAACTTCTCAAGTTGACACATTGTTTCAACCACAACACTATGTTTATGTCTATTAAAGGAATCACAATCTGTAGTACCAGTAGCTTTACAAAATTTATTTTATAAATAATGAGACTGGAAAGTCAGAATTATTCCTTGATCCATGGGCTGCAAAAATGTAGTTAGATGATGATATAGTTGATGGGACTGAAAAGCAGTATTATCTCATTGTACCTCTCCATCACAGCTCTTGGGTGACCAGGTACATTGTCAGTGGGCTGTCATCTTCTGAAAGAAATCCTTTTTATTTTTTTTACCTTTTCCTGAGTTGTAGGTCTCAACAGTGGGCTTTAAATGGTCGATAAACCATGTTATAACCAGGTGTGCGTCATTTAGGCTTTGCTGTTCCATTTATAGAGCACAAGCAGACTGGATTAACTGTCACTCTTAAGGGCCTCAGGATTGTCAGATGATAAATGAGCAAAGTCCTTCAAAATTCTGTTATCTAAAGAAATCATTATTTTGACTGACAACATGAACACTGCAGTTGAGACCACAGCTTGCTGTGGAATAAGTGGCCCTTGGTATCCCTCCTTTTCCTTCCCTGCACCATGCACCTGTCTAGTAGGGTGATTCTATTTACTGTAAGGAAGAGAGGATTACGCAGTGAAACTTGTTTGCTTCCAACAATTTCCAGCAGTTGCTTGTCAACATTGAGGTCATCAGAAGCTGCAGAAACAAGAATTAATGTGCTGTTTTTGTTGTTCTCTTTAGTGGTGTAAACAGTGTTTCTCTGCTATTTAGAGTTAATTGGCCTCACTCCCAACTTCACTACCCATAATTGTGGCTGTGTGCTATAGAAGTACTGTTCTCTTTTGTGACTGTTTGTGAGCCCACCGGAGGCCACCCTGGCTCCACCTGATTACTGGCCTATCATACAGCTTTGAACTAGTTACTTAACTTTCTGAAAGTCTTCTGTCAGCCTACACCAGACAGTCTTGATAATTTTCTCCTGTTCTCTACTTTTATGGGCCTTTAAGAAATAGCTGGAATCCAGGCGTGGTAGCACATGTGTATAACCTCAATACTCAAGAAGCTGAAGAAAGGGCAGTGCAAGTTTGAGCTCAGGCAAATTTTAAAAAGGCCTGGGAGGTAGTTCAATGTGAAGGCCCTGTGTTCAATCCCCAGTACCTAAGGGGAGAGAGGAAATAGCTGGAGGATTCAACTCATTTCAATATCTGTGTGACTCAGACTGAAACAACAGCAACAACAAAGCCTTTAAGAGTTATTTTTGCATATGTTTTACCAAGCCAATCCCTGTTACTGTAAGGCTTTTTCTCTTGTAAAACAGTTACTGTGCTTTTTCCTCAGCTTTATGTCTGCTGCTGCCTATGATCTGATAATCATGAGGCATTTTCTGCCAGCTCTGTGCACTTTCTGCTGCCCAGTGGCTAAAAAAAATTGCGGACAGGGCTGGGTTTGTGGGTATTTGAACTGAATAATTGCACAAACTTCTTAGGAGAGCCCACACTTGGCTTAATGCTCCAATAAAGCCACCTTGAAATTCATAATAATTTTTGAACAATGTATTGATTTGGCACTACGTCTAGTAGATTATATTTAGTAATTGCTATCACCTAAAAAATCTTTAGAAAACACCATGTTCCTATTTTTATTACTAATTGCAGGAAAATACAGGCTCATGTACACACATATGTACATTTATACTTGGAAATAGAACGAGAACTGTACTTTAAAGTATTATGATCAGTCAAATTTGTCCTCTTTGGGAAAAAAATGGCAGCTTGCTATAGGGCTGGATGGAGAGTCTCTGCAGAGAAATCAGATCAGATGCTAGAATATGACAACCTGGAGAGGGCCAGACAAATGGATAATGATTCTTATTAACCAAGGCAGTAACCAAAGGGAAAAATAAAACTAGGAAGAGGAAGGAAAAGCACAGGTGGAGAGCTAAAGCCCAACACGCTCACAGAGAACCGTTCCATGCTGTACTAGGCGTGCCCGGAGGATCCAAGGTCGCGCTGAGACTGCGGCTGCCAAAAATGGGAGTCCATCCCGGGCCCTTAATGGGAGGACGCAGCACAGTGAGCAGTGGATCCAAGGGGAAGAGCTATATTGGCTCTCGGTGACTGCTGGAAATTGGGACCTGGGGCTCTGCAAAACAGCCAGAGCCACCTGGCTGCGCCGGAGGAAACTGTGAGAAAACCATACACCTGGGCTCCAAAGCTGGACACCACACAGTTTTCTGACAGATCCACACTGTGCTGGGAGCACAGTGCAGACACGCAGTGCAGTGTGAAGTGGACCCAAGAGGAAGATCTGCATTGATTCCCGGTGAGTGCTAGGGATTGGGTCTCGTAGCTGCTGTCGCTAGCTGGAGGACATCTTGGAATTGGGCAGAGTCCAGCACCATGGCAGTGTCAGTGACACAGAGAGGACTGATGGAGGACATCTTGGAGTTGGGCAGAGCCCAGCGCCATGATGGCATTAGTCAGCTGCCCCTGGCGTAGAGAGAACTGGCAGGGTCTGCTGGGGCTGAACTATGCCTCTGGTTGGGACCCAATAAGCAGGTACAAAATTGTCATGACTCTGTGACGTCCATAAGGTACAACCTAACTTGTGGATTGACTGGTTCAGAGGCTCAAGGCTAGCCTGCACTGTCCCTGCATCCCTGCATGTACCTCAGATAACAGCAAATTAGGGAGGGCAGCAAAACCACAGTCAGCACGCTTCAGAAAGACCCTAAGCAATACAGAGAGAGCCAGAGACCCCCAGGACACACCAGTCTGAAAGAAACCAGAAACATGACAAGAGATAGAAATTTTAAAAAATCTCCAGCTGCCGAACCTGGGAAAATAAGCCCAGGAGAAGTAAATACAGAAGAGAACCAGTGCAGTAACCATCCAATACTAGACACAGCATCGGCTGACATAAAGAAATACCTTCATGACCTCATAGCGAATTTAAAACTGTACTTCTGATCTAAGTGAGGCAAGATATAAAAGATTAATTAAAGAAATGATAAGCCCCTCCCAAGAGAACACAGATGGAAGAACAGAGGAAATCAAAAAAGAGAAACCTCTGATGAAGAATTTAAACATAACCTAGAATACATGAAACAGATCCAAAGAGATTACCAGGAAACTAAAAACTCAGTTGAAAACTGGCAAAATGCCTTGACAGAAACTAAAGTTAGCCTTTTGAAACTTGAAGAGAGATTTATGATATATAATCATGAAAGAAAAGACCTCTTAAAAATAACAAGAAACCAGGAAGAAACAATTCAAAGACTAGAAGATGACAAAAGGATACATAACTTAAGAGTAAAGCGTATGAGTAAAGAAGCAGGAGTAACCAAAAATGAACTACAAAGAATATTCACAGATATATTAAAGGAAAATTTCCCAAGCATAGGAAAAAGAAATGATATCCAGATAAATCAGGCATACAAAACTCCAGCCACCTACAACCAAAACAGATCTACACCCAGACATATAATAATCAAGATTCCAGAAATCCACCAAAAGAACAGAATACTAAAAGCTGCCAGGGAAAAGAAGCAGATTACCTACAATGGAAAAATTATCAAAATAACAACAGGCTTATCAACACAAACTCTCAAATCAAGAAGAGTCTGGGGGAAATAGTCTAACCTTGAAAGAAAATAGTTTGCAGCCAAGACTGATGTACCCAGAAAAACTCTCTCTCAAAATTAATGGAGAAATAAGTTGTTTTCAAGATAGGAGGAACTGTGGGAGTTCATGGCCACCAACCCAACCCTACAAAGAATGCTGAAGGACATTCCAGAGAGAGAGAGGAAAAAAAGTACCAGGATTCCAGCAACAGTGGCAGAGAGGCCTCAATGAACGGGGCAGACAGTGGAATGAGGGAGTAAGGTGGACAAATTATAGCAGTAAAGTGGAGTAGCAGACATGAGGCAGAGACAGTAAGCTATAATCTTTAATATAGATAGCTTTGATACACTAAAATAGAAAAAAACAGACAGAGTGGATTAGGAGGCAGGCTCCATCGAGATGCTCTGAATGGGAAATACACTCAACCCAAAGGAGGGTTAATAAACTGAAAGTCAAAGATAAGAAGGGGCTGGGGATTTAGCTCAGCCGCATAAGCGCCTGCCTTGCAAGCAGGCAGTCGTGAGTTTGATCCCTGGTACCGATAAAAACGAAAAAGACAAAAAAAAAAAAAAAAAAAGATCAGAAAGCAAAGCTATATATGACAGGAAACCAGAGAGAAATAGGGACAACTCATCCAGCAGCCGCAGATAGATTGGAAAGCTATGACACTTTTGGGCAGTGTAGAACTACACAACTGGAAGGAAAGAAAATCCTATGACTTTAGTGAATAAAGGAGTACAGCTCAAGTTTAAGCTCAGGGGTAGGAAGGTTCAGCAACACTCAAGATAGAGAATAGGCTGGGCCCCTAATCTAAAAACTAAAGGGGCTAGTGAGACCCAAAACATACAAAGCATCCTGAGAAGGGGAAAAGTGAAAAATAACCTAAAAAAGGAAGGCAGAGGACATTGTTAATAGTGTATCAGGACTTAAAAGTCACAGTAGTCTTACCGCTCTGTTTAGTTTGATTTTATTTTGTTCCGGTCTGTCCACTCATATCAGATTTGAGGGCACAGATATCCTACCCAAAAACAGCAGGTTATACCATGGTAACTATCCTTAATTTCTTATTAACTTAACTGAAACCCTGTATTACTTACATTGTCTTACTATGACTGATCTTATTTGAATCTGGTTTGTTAGATTGAGGTTTTGCCTTGGCTGATTTTATTCAAATTTGGTATGCTTGATAGTATCAACCCTAAAAGTAGAGGCAACTACTCTGAAGATGACAAGATGTAAAAGATATCCATACTGGTTTTGATTATTAACCACTCTCAAGTCCTACAATGTTTTCAAAGTTGTGTTTTTATAAAAATAGCTATGTAATACTATGCTTAACTATATTAAGCCTGATGATGTGGATAAGTCTATTGAAAATAACAAGAGAAAAGATAGTAACTACGGTAGATCACCCAATATTGTGGTCTTACGTGTCTTTTTCATTGCATGTTTTTCTAGGAATTTGTTTTGTTGTCTTGTTATGATGTGTTTTTCCCTATAATACAGAGAGGATAGATATATATGTAGAAATTCACACATGAGAAAATTTTTTAAAACTATTTACGGGAACAGATTATGTAATACAAGCTGTAATGAACAGTAGATACTCTGAAGAAGAAGAGACACTAAGAAACCCAATGCTAATTCTGTAACGTTATGATATAAAATCTAGCAATACTGTTATTGCTAGATTTCAAAGTGATATTAGTCTAGTCTCTTTAAGTTCAGTTTCAGCATACGTAAAGATAAGGACAGCTGCTACGAAGAGAATGAGAGACATGATGGTAGTCATTATTGACTTCCCCAATGTCAGATCTTGAAGACCTAAAAAGCCTTCATCATCCTGTAATAATTTGATTAGTTCTATAATATGAGGTATGTATTCAGTGTGTGCGAAGATGGGGACAACTATTTGGAAGAAAACTAGGGACATAAGATAACAGTGAAGAGCTCCAGTAGACTTGCTTTGAAATCTGTATTTCTTGAAATTGTTTCTTTATGAACTGTTTTGTTCTGTTTTGATATGTATAATCTTATCCTCTTGATAAAAAGCAAATGTGTAGGACTGATAACGACTGATAACCATATTACTAAGTTTTTGTTGGATCATTGAGCAGAACTCTTGGCAGTGTCACTATTTGAATGTCACTTCGTATGCTTTAATTTTGTAATCTGAACAACTGTTTCTAAGATGACAATATTTAACTTATCAACTAGTAATTTCTTACTATTTCTTTTTCTGTAATTCTGTATTATTTCTACGCTTTTTTTCTCTATGGTTTTCTTTTTTTGTTTCTTTCTCTTTAAATAATAAAAAAAATTAAAAAATTGTCCTCTTCAGGAGTAGATGACTATGTCTTTGCTACAGATCTTCTGAAGGGAAGGACTGAGGACCTGAAGCCAGACCCTTACCTGCGGAAGAGTCCTTCACTGGAGTCACTGAGCAGACCCCCCTCCCTGGGCTTTGGGAGTACCAGGCTACTAAGTGCCTCCACTGGAGGGTTGAAGCCACCGAGCAAACTCAGGTACCATGTTTCCAACAGTGAGAAATCAGAAAAACACTGAATCAACAGTCTTTTCCTTTTACTTCTGTTTAGTTTCCCAGATCAGTTTATTTTTACAAATATTTCCTGAATGAAGATGGTTAAGATACAGGACCAGCCAGGCACAGTGACACGCATCTGTAATCCCACCTACTCAAAAAGCAGGGATAGAATTGCAGGTTCAAAGCCAGCATGCTCAATCTAGCAAGATTCTGACTCAGAAAAGAATGTAGCTATAGCTCACAAACAGTCACAAAGGAAAGCAGTGCTTCTGTAGCTAGGGACATAGCTCAGTGGTAGTGTCCTATCCTCAATGGGTTCTATCGTCAATGCCTAGGGGATAAGAAGATATAATACTTGTTTTTATAGTATTATGCAAAGTGAAATGAAGGAATGAAATATATAAAGTTTAGGAATTCTAAAGAGAAGTAGCATTTCTGCCAGGGATTGTAAAGATGCCACTATGAGCAAGCTGTGGAATTAGACTCTTGGCTTCCCGAGGACTAGAACTCTGCCAGCACACGCAGTAGGAGCTCAGTACTGGTTGGGTAGATGGATAGATGACTAAGCTGTGAAAACTGGAAAGGCAAGCTAGGCCCCTGTTGCAAATAGTCTTGCAAATAGTCATTGCAGGCCCCTGTTGCAAATAGTCATTGCCAGTGAAGAAGTTCAAACTTATTTTGGTAAAGCAGTGGGGAACCACTAAGTCTGTGGGATTTTGTTTTTGTTTTTGAGTAGCAGTTAAGATCAGACCTGCTCTTTAAAAAGGATTAATCAAACACAGTGGCATAGGAAGAGGATTAGAGAGATTTTTCTAAGATCAGTGTTTAAAGGGGCTTAGCAAGGATGAAAGGATACAGTAGGAGAGGAAGAAATCAGTGAGACAGGCACAGTGGTCACCAAGAATCTGTCTGTGCTCCCATTTCTTTGCAACCTCCTCCTTTTCCCTATGGCTGGTCACCCAGGCCCCAGAAAACTTTACTTCAGCTGCTTCCTCTCTCTCTGTCTTCCCTGCTTCTCCATGTTGGATGGCCTTCCGAGGTGCGGTGTGCATCCTGCCTGCAGACCCATCACAGACCTCTTATGACTCTGTCATCCACAGTCCGCATCCTGGTCTTCCAGCTGTGCTAAATCTTGACACCGTCCACGCTCACCTGCCAAAATGACCCAGCCCTTCACTCTGTCCAAACCTATCTTACTCTGCCTTTGCAATGTAATGTGAGCATTTCTGATGGCAAGTATTTGCTTATAAAGCTCCAGCTTGAATTGCCTTCCTTTTGGTCCCTTCACACTTGTGAGGACTGCTGCTCCTTCAGCATCAAACCTTCCATGAGGTTTGTGCTCACCATGACAGCATCCGCTTAACCCTTCTCTGACTTTGGTGTCTGTGTTCCTTTGAGTGTTTGATTCCTGTGCTGCCGTGTAGTGTGACTAACTTGCATAGTATATGCCCTTTTCTCCAGAAAGGCTATAATTTAGTGGATAATAAATATTTTGTCTTACATTTTGTTACCTTTCCTCCACCCCTGTCTGTGCAACACATAGCATTTTGTTCACCACTTATGAATGAGTAGATAAATACACAAAATTGGCTACATTATATTATAATAAATACTATAATTATCAATATGAGTATTATAAAACAACTTATGAAAGTCTGAGTAAGTTCAGATCTTGTATTTTTGGGTGTTACCTACATCTGGACCCAAATAGATGAAGTCATGTGTTTCGAGGATTGCATGTAATACCCCTGATAATGTATATTGTCCTGTTAATTTGCAGGGATTTTAACATTCAAAACAGATGTTAAGGAGCGAAATTAGTACTATTCTCAGATTGGTACTAGAAATGCCTACAAAAGACTTTGTGTATATTAATGTGCTTTGTATACTATCATTACGACAGGTTGTTATTGAAATTAGTTTATTTCAGTTTTACGTGTCATTGAGATTAACCCATGGCAGTATACAAATGACTTATTTAGACGTTCCAGACCTACACAGGGTGGTGCACATTTGTAATACCAGTACTTAGGAGACTGAGGCAGGAAGATCGTGGTGAATTCAAGGGGATTCTTTGCTATACAGTAAGTTCAAGGCTAGCCTGAACTACGTAGTCTTAACATTGAAAAAAGCCATCCCCTACCCCCCCCCATACACACAAAGACATTATTGGCCTGCATTATTAAAAATGAAAGGGAGGAATCATACTTTTAAGAAAAATATTTGGTCAGTGCTTCTTCTACTCATGTGAAAATCTTGTTTCAGTCCTAATTTGTCAGGCTTTAAGGGATGACATAAGGCCAGGCATGGTCACCAGGACTTTGTAGTCAACACTCTGACCAAAGAAACTCATAGAAAATGACTTTACAGATCTGTCAGATGTGTAGAAAAATAATCATCAAATTGTACAAGGAAAACTTAAATTCATATATGAACTGTTTTTCTTAAAATCTCTGTACCTTAGTTCATATTCCTGAACTCTAGAATCACTTATTTCTCTTTCTAAAATGTTTTAAAATATTTTATTAAATACTGGGTGGATTCTTTAGGGAAGTTTAAACTTATCCTATGAAAGATTGATAATTTTGGTATAAGAAGAATTCACAGTAAATTAATAAGAAAAGTGTATACTACCTACTAACATGCAAAAATGTGAAACCCAGACACAACTTTGTGTGTATGTAAAGCTCCTCCTTTAGAACCATTTTATTTATTTTGCTGATTTCCCCTCCTCTTCACTCCCATTGCCTCCCATAACCAGCCAATTTGGTATTTTTAGTGTAGCCTTCCATCTAACTTTTCTCATGTTATCTAGAAATAAGTGTAAGCCTTGAGACACGTAGAGTGGTTTTGGGATAGGTATTGTTAATTCAAATGATACTGTGCTTCACTAAAATAAATGGATGGATGGATGGATTTTTAAACAAAACAAACTCTCCTGAATTGTGTCCAGAAGCCCAACTTAGGTTTTCTTTTACCCCATGAGATAATAAAATTGTTATTAATGTGACTGTTATGATTGTCTCAGAGTCTCTCTGAACATGGCTAGGCTTTTGCTTTTGCTAAGCTAAATATTTGCTTCCTATATATTTGAGGATTCCAGTGTCTCTTCCTTACTGTGTGTTCTTCTTCCTAACCAGTGTGGAAAGAAGAGACCCTCTGGCAGCCTTAGCCCGGGAGTATGGTGGCTCCAAACGCAACGCGCTATTGAAATGGTGCCAGAAGAAGACAGAAGGTTATGCGGTAAGGGCAGGACAGCCAGTGGGGTGGTAGTGGTCTGTACCAGGACGAGTTCGGGTGTGCGTGTGCTTGGCGGTCTGATGCACATATAAGTGTTAATTTTTCCATTCTCCTGGAAAGGGTTCCAGGGAGGGTTTTATATTTGTGTGCTGCATAAAGGTCCCCAGATGAGGAGGCAAATGGGCATGCAGCCCACAAGCCATATCCCAAAATGCAAGGTGACATCTCCCATACAAAAGAGGCGTCTTTTCTTTGCTTAAGGGAGGTGTAAACTGTCTACTAGAACTGCTACAACCTGGAGACAGCTGTTGCTAAGTTGTTCTTCCAAAGAGGGTACCTTTTTATAATCACACAAAGGCCCCTAGAGGCTGGCTTCCAAAATTTTTACAGAAACTTTCTATTAAGAGTTGTTTGCATTTACGAGTTTTGGTTTAACATTTGTGTCTGGTTTGGGAGGACAGCATTTGTTTTCTGTAAATATTAGACAAGGAAGTAATACCTGTGTAGGTTTATTATATAAACCTTTTTATTACAAACACCATACTCAAAGATAAAAGTACATGAAATGCAAATTAGAAGTTGACAAATTATTATGAGATAAAATCTCATCTAAAAACAGAGCATTACCAGTCCTCACAGAACTTTCGTGTTATTTTCCAGCCGTGACCCTTCACTGCTCCCTGAGCTGCCTACTGACCTCAGTTCTTTTTATTTCAATTTTTTATGAAAGTATATGTCCTTAAATATACTATGTTAATTTTGTCTACACTTGAATTTTATATAAATGGAACAAAAAGCTATATAATATTTGAATCTGGCTTTTTCACACAGTATTGCTAGTAAAATTTATACATTGTGTTACATATAGCTATAATTCATTTTCTTTACCATTTAGTAACCTGTTACATGATTAAACCATTATTTGTCAACTATATTGCTGATGGACAGTTGAGTCATTTCTAGTTTGCAGCTACTTTTTTATTGACAAGATTTACTAAACAAATTAATATTTGAAATCAAAGGCCAAATTTTAAGTGTGAGTTGTTTATCTCATTAATTTATATTCATTGTACCTTTCCTTAATGTCCTAACTTTCTCAAGAAACAAGTCAAACCTGTGAAAATACCTGTTAACATTCAACATGTATCATTTTCACATATTTCTGTTTGGTGATGCAAAGACTTTAAAACAATCACTGGGTACCTCAAATACCTAATTTTGTCATAAGCATAATGCTTCATTTTATCAGGGAAAAGTTACTTAGTAAACTAATTGAGACAGTCAATTTAAAAGATAGAGTTCAGTGGGCTGGGGATTTAGCTCAGTGGCATAAGCAACTACTGGGCAAGCACAAGGTCATGAGTTTGATCCCTGGTACTACCCCCCCCCCCCAAAAAAAAAGGTACAGTTCAATCTTTAAATTCAGGAGTGGTCCATATATTGATCACATGGAATCCTGATTGGCCAAAATGTAAAACCTAACAAACACATTAAATTTCTATAATGCTAAAAATAAGTACAGTATATTACTACTTTTGAGAAATACTTCGTCAGAGATATCTGCCACTGCCTACACATTCTCTTTGGCCTTATACATAGTACTTTTATCATATTTATGAAGTTGGTCAGGTTTCCTGTAGATAACAGTAATTTACATGGTCAAAAGCAGTTAATAAAAATGTCACTTAATGTAGGCCAAATGTATTTAAATCTTAACTCTCCCAAAGTTTTTGAAGCTTTGATGTGTTGATTTTGGTTGTCCTTAATACAAAACATTATCTATGCTTTTGCAGTTAGCACTAAAACTATAAATTGGTGACACTTTCAAGGCAAAGCAGAATTATACAGTTTCTGCAGTGTCACTGAATTCCAGCTTCCACTGTTCCCTCTGTCACACTTCCTGGCTAACACTAACATTTCACAGTTCACAAGTGTAAAGTAACTTTTCTAACTGTTCTGATTCTTCTTTGTGGTGCTGCTGTCTGCCTTCTTAACATTAGCACTTTTTATAGACTTGACTTTTAGAAGTAGCTTTCTGTTCGGTTTTTTCTTTTTTAGATGTCTTCTTAGGTGGCTGCATGAGTTTTAAAAATTGACCTGCCCAAAAGAAATTTTTAAAAAACTTTTATATATGAAAATATATTTTGGGACCGGGGGTTTAGCTCAGTGGCATAAGTGCCTGCTTGGCAAATGTGAGGTCATGAGTTTGATCCCTGGCACCAAAAATAAAATAAAATAAAATTTAATTTAATTTAAAAATAGCAAATTATTTTTTCAAAATAAAAAAATAACATCTGTCACTTCTGTCGTGCTGACAGTTTGGTGTATATACACACATGCAGAAGTTCTGATCTAGTTATCTAGATGCTTGTGTAATTTAGCATGATGAACACAATGCCACCAGGCTCTCTGACAGAAAAGATGTGTATTCATCATGTTACATATAAAAATGCTAAATATTTCATATACTACATACTGTAATGGTTTCTGCGTGTATAAATGTCACAATAGTTTTAGTCCTACTGATTAAAAAGTATGTTTTAAGCAAGCTAATATTAAATGCACTAAAACAATTCAGGAATCTATGCCTTATTTAAGAAATTCAAAATGTGCAAATTACAGCTCTAAAAGGAACAATTACTGCCATGTAACATTTTAAACTAAAAATGACGTAGAAATGCAGTTTAAAACAATGAATTCAGGTTTACATTAACACCCAAGATAAAAAAGTTAGCCATAAATTCTATCAATACAAGGATTTATGAAAGGAAACACTTCTCTTTGCTGGTATAATGTATACATCAGATCTTCCAGTCTATGGGAATAAGTCATCTTTGCCTTCTATCTCAAGAAATCAGCTCTTTTACAGTTGTTTTTATGAGATCTTTTCTCTCAGTTAAATTATAAGCAGGATAATTTTCATATACCTCTTTGCAAACCTGCTTCATTGTGACTTTCTCCAAATTAGCATTGGCCAATAATATCTTTACTGTTCCATTTAACTTTTCATTGGTAAGTGGTTTCTTCAGTTTTTTAATTAAAGATTCACCATCTCAACTATCCTCAGATTCACTTTCTTTTTTCTAACTGCTCTGATTCTTCTTTTGTGGTGCTGCTGTCTGCCTTCTTAACATAAGCACTTTTTATAGACTTGACTTTTAGAAGCAGCTTTCTGTGTGGTTTTTTCTTTTTTAGATGTCTTCTCTGGTGGCTGCTTCTCTTCACTTCCTTTATCTTCATTTGGACTCGTCCTTGCTTTTCTTTTTGTCTTTATCACTACTAGATTCATCTGGCAGAATTTCAAGACATTTGCTTCGCTTTGCCTTCCTTGCCATTCCAGAACTGTTCTGTTCCTTTTTATTGCCTTTGCTAGAAGTTCTTTTAGATTTTGGCAGTGGTTTGCCTGACGCTTTTGGATGCATTTAAAAAACTCAAGATCCTCTCCACCAGTTCAGTATTTACACAAGATTTCTCCAAATCAGGAACTTCCTGTGTGCTCTTTAGCATGGCATTGCTAAACCTTTTCGACGTGTCTTCCTTCTTTTTATGTCATATAGTCCCTTTTTCAAATGGAAAGCCACCGAATTGACCTACATTCTTCTTTAAGGAGGAAACTGCCCGGTCTGTGATAAAGCAGTTTGTGCAAATTTCTTAGTTTACCTGTTTTTGTTTTTGTTTTTTCTATTTCGAAAGAAATGTATCCTTTCAATTTCACACAGTTTCTGCCCTTTTCCTTGTGCAGTCATAAGTGGTTCTCTTTGAAAGGAGACACTTGCATTGTCAGTCTGTCCACTTCCTTCTTTTCCCTCTTGCTTTCCACACTGAGACTCTTTTCTTCCTCCTCATCCTTGTCCCCATCATCCTCCTCCTCCTTACTTTCCTCTCACGGGTCGGGCATTTCAGGCTCCTTCTCCAACACGGGCTGGGCTGGGATTCCCCCTCTCTTGGATGGAGCAAGGAGGACATGTTGGGGACCTCCAGTTCTGGGCCTCTTTGAGCTTGGCTCCAGAGCCCCAGGGGGCCGCGGGAGTCGAGCAGGCTGGCACCAGGAAGAAGGTGCATGGTTGCTGTCGCGCGTGGCGCTGGCACCCTGCTCAGCTCCGTGGAGTCCGGGACTGTTTTAAATTGTGCATGTGTCCGAAATGCGTACAGTCTCATCCCTGTTTGATACATGCCTAGGAATGGACTCCTGCCATGGAATGCCATATGGTATAGTAGGCAGTGCCAGATTTCTGAGGTAATTGTGTAGTGAATGTCCCACTGGCAATTTATGAAAGGTCTATTTCTCTATATTCTCATTAATACTTGGTGCTATTGGTATTTATTGGTATTTATTGCTCATTCATTTGGGTAACTATGTAGTAGTATCTTTTTGTGGTTTTCTTTTCTGTTTTATTTTGTTTTTTGAGACAATCTTGCTATTATTTCAGGCTGGCCTTGAACTCATCATGTAGACAACGCTGGCCCCAAACTCTCAGTGATCTTGACTGCCCCAGCCTCCCAAGTACTGGCATCACAGGTTGCGCCAATTGCAGGAAATTGCAAAGCAGCAGCAGCAGGCCTACCTTTTCTGTCCCTCTATATTCTGTTCAGGCTGCAAACCGGTTGATTGATGTCACCCATACCTACAGTATGGGCTACAGTGGGGCTTCTGTTACCCACACCCTTAATCCACATTCACACAGCCTAATCCAACCTCCTGCAAAGCTCCCTACTTATAACCATGTGAGGTTTTGGGGGTACATCTAAACATACGCCATAACAGCCCTCCAGTGTCTTTAACATCCCAATCTACTCAGGGATGTAAGTATCTGGCAATTATGCCTAATTAAAATTAAAAGTGTTCGCTGAAAGAGTGAAAATTCAAGCTATCCTGGGAGAAGATGTTAGTTACATATCTCTTTGACAAAGAACTTGTATATAGTACAAAGAACTTGTATACAAACAAATTTTAGCATTGCCGACTTCTGTGTCAAAAAGAAAAAAGCTGGACATGGTAGCAC